CCCCCGTGATATAAAGAACAAATTATTTTCTAATCCATTTTTTTTTAAGGTTGGAGGTGCATGTTTTCCACCGCGTTCTAAGTCAAAGGCTGGTATCAGGAGCACTCGGGGGCTCTAGAAAAAGCATAACATGAGACGTAAAGGGTCTTCTTTCTTCATCCGGTGTCACAGAGGCAAAGGGTGGCTGTGGGGGCCAGAGAGGGCATCTCACGCCACTGAGCTTCACCCACTGTCTCAATTACAGGATGATGCACGCAAGCTGTTGCACTTGGCAGACACCATTGAAGAAGGCAGCATGCCTAAAGAGATGTCAGACATAATCTGCCGACTCTGGGAAGACCCAAGCATTCAGGCCTGTTTTGAGAGGGCCTCGGAGTACCAGCTGAACGACTCGGCCGGCTAGTAGGAACTCTTTGCTTGTATTCCTTGAGACAAGAGTCCAGGGCTTGTGTAAGAGAATTGTCATGGGTGTGCAAGATGTGTCTTGGCCTGGATTCTTTAGGATTGGAGAGACCAGGCACACTTGGAGGCACCTGTCTTTCCTCACTACCTGCAACATTTACGTTCCTCTGTCTCTGACGGGAAATACAGGGAATGTCTCTGCTCCAAAAGCAAATGCAGCAGCAGTACAAAGTGCCTCAGGAGGATGTCCTTGTGCTCAAGGACAATTTGGTATTGGGCTCAAACATCCTGATGGCTGGTGACGCCAGTTTCCAGGGTGCTGTGAATCCATTCAAAATCTTACTCTCCTCATTACGTGAGCTATCCATATTCTGCACGGTGTTCCCAAAGTAAATTCAGCCCCTTGGAATGCAGGCTGGAGGGCACTGAGAGGGCCTTTGCCATGGGAGTCAATCACCAGCTTCTAAGGTGCCTTTCTCTCCTTCCACGAGCTGTGCTAGGAAACAGGCACATGGGTGAAGATGCAAGGAGGCCCTGAGAGAACTGCTGAACTAGAGGTCAGAGGTCTGGAGGAGGAAGGGGTGCTTGCTGTGATGCTCTCAGCACTTGTAAAAGTTACTTTTTAGATTAAAGCTCCCAGACTGTCATAGGGTTCTGGTGAGCTGTGGTCCAAAACCGTAATTCTTTCCCAGCTGTGGATTTTTTCTGATCCTAGATCTGATAGGGGTTCTGAATGGGTAAGAGCAACCCCTTCCCATTACATCGGCTTCTATGTCCCACACATCTGATCAAAGACAATGATCCAGGTCATGATCTAATCCTCTAAAGGGTAAGCTGGTTCACATTGTAGACCCTGGACCTTTTCTATGTTTGCAGTTATCTGAGTGACCTGCGACGGCTGGTGGCACCTGGATATATCCCAACGGAACAGGATGTTCTCCGCTCCAGGGTGAAGACCACGGGTATAATTGAAACTCAGTTTTCCGTGAAGGATCTCAGCTTCAGGTATCCCATGGCTGCGGTGGATGGAAAGCCTAGCAAGCAGGAAGGTCGTGAAGGACAGTGAATGCTATTTTATTCTACAGCTATTGGACTTGACTAACTGACACAAAGCTGTAATAATTAAAGAGCATGAAATATGGTTCCAGATTCACTACTGGACATCCCAGTTTGGCCCAGCACATGCTGGATGGTTTTAAGCCAACCAGTTTCCCTTGGCCTTAGCTCTATCCCATCTTTCCACCTATAATATACCGTATCCATAATAATACTAGCCTGCTTTAGAAGGCTTTGGAGTTGACAAAGGAGGAGAGAGGTTTGGACCACTTAGGAAAAAGCACCTGGTAAACAGGAAATATCACAACTGCTGAAGGAGGAAGGGCAGAATGGGGTCCTGCTGCAGGATCAGGACGGCTGCAATCCGGCAGTTACTTTCCGATATTAAATGCCCATCCCTCTTAGGCCCTGAGGCGCCCAAAGGCTTCCCAAGGCCAAAAGGGATTCCTCGGCAGCCTCAGAACCTGAAAGGGGAGAGTGGTGTTAGGAAGCTTTTAATTTAATTAAGATATCCCTCACCGGATGATGACATCACTTGGCTTGCATAAATTTACACCAACAAAAGTTCAGCTGATATGTTCTCCACATTGATTAAACAGCCGAAGACACCCCAGTCTGCCATTTTTGACAATGGGAAGCCATTCTGTTTTGCTGTACAGTAGCCTCTTCTACAGATTATGGATCCCACATCAGGACAGTCAAATGTTATGGCGCAGCCTTCTCTTTTAGAAAAACCCTAGTTCTTATTGACAACACAGTCAAGGTCTTTACTGTAATCTATGAAACACAAACCAGTTTTTTTTTTCCTGCTTGGGTAGAAATGAAGTCAAATCTTTCCAGTGGGTGGTGTCACAGTACTGACTACCACAGAGAGGACCAATGACCACTGAGCCACACTACCCTTGCTTATGGGTATTTCCCAGCAGGGTCTAGTGTGCGAATGATTGTGAAATGCTTCCTGTGTGACTCCTCTCCTACACTACCGAGCCAGTTTGCTCTTTTAGTGCCCTGGGGAGACACAAAACCTTCCAGGCTGTTGCTTGTAACTGCAAACCAACCCTGCAAAGGAGGAATGCCAAAACACCCATAAAGTACTCAAAACTTCGGAGTACAAGGCACTGTCCTTAGTACCACTAACCCCTTGCTCTTTCTGAGACAGCTGTACAATTGTATTATTTTTATTGAAGGTCTTTTAGAGATATACATGTTCACAAGTAGGTTTAAAACTTCTAAAAGAATCAAAATGGTATGAAGCAGTTCTATAGTAGAAAGCAAAATAAACATCATTCAGAGACTGAGGGAGTTAAGAATAAGACTCACAAAAAATTATAAAACTAGCTACCTATATCTATACTTACAGAGATGTGGCATGGTACCAACACATACACAGAGTTCAGCAGAGTGGCAGGCAATGACTACATTCACCTGATATACAAAGCTAAGCCTGCACAGCTTTATAGAAGCTAGCCAGGCATAAACTCAAGCTCAAATGCTCCATTCTTCTGCTCCTACATAAATCCCATCATCCCCCTCCCCCAGATGTTTCAAGTTTCAAACCTTTGCACCAATCACACTGTGTTCTCAGACAAGGCTGGTTGTACTGCTTTCAGTAGCATGAGACACCAGGAGGAGATGGTTCTCATAACAGTCTTTTGGCCTTGAGGGTTGTAGATAAATACTTTTCTACAGTCATGGCCAATTCCTCTCATTGGGAGATGTTTCCCCTCCTTGCCTCCTGGTCACTTTCAGGTACCATGCAATGTTCTTCAGAGACTCCAGGGAATGCATTAACCCTCTCCTTGCTAATTCCATGACAGGTTGTATTTCCATGTCATCTGGGATGACAGCAGAAACGTGTTGCTGTGGCCACAAATAAATGGCTAATTGTGTAGTCTGCCTGGTCCTTAATCCATCGCTAATATTTGGCACAATATTTGTAAGTTTCGACATTGTATCCCTTCCCAAGATGTGAAGAAGGTGCAAAAAATATATATGCATGTACGTATTCTGATGTTATCACACAAGGTAAATTTCAGTGCCACTTACCTGGAGAGGTAGATGTGATGTTAGGCTACCAATGTGTATACTGTGTTTTTCCCCCCCTCACAATGAAAAATGCCTGTAGTTTCCAGCCAAAATGAGAAGACTGGTAGAGATGTGGAGGGGACATAACAAAGGGACTGGAAAACAGAGCTGGCTTGCAATTATTAAGCTGCTACAAGTTAAAAGCAGTTAAAAGCAGAACCTAGAATAGTACATATTATCCTATACATACCAGTGTTTTGTCTGTGAAGCATAGAGCAGGGAGATCATGGATCTGCTGCTTCCTTGGTGGCAGCTAAATTTTATTTCTTTTTGTGAGGACTGAGTGCCCCCTAAAGATGCAAAATGAAAATGACAGAACCCTGAGAAGATGCTCTTTTTTCTTCCACCGAGGGCCTGTCAGCAAACGTTCTGCCCCAAGTGAACACAGTTCATCTTGAAGGAGACCTGGGCTTGCTGGGAGTGACATCTGCACGGTTTTGCAGAAACCACATGGTTGAAAAAAATCACTGGTTTGGGTTCCCAGAAGGTGGAAATCCTTATACATTCACTCCCCTGCTGCAGCTTTGTCTCTTGAGCTTTTTCAGTTTTATTTTTAAGAGCTAACGAAAGACTTCTGACTGGGAACCCCTGATCTGGAAATGAACTCACTATGGGAAGCACTGTAGAGGTAAGCCCTACCTTTAGGAATAAATTCCAGAACAAAAAACAAAAAACACCCAAAACAAAACAAAACCCCCATCATCTCATGGAGAACAAAAGAAACATGGAAAGAGTGGCTGATCCTGCCAGGAGTCATCTGGATAAGAGGGAAACTCACCAGTGCTTAACAAGGGGCATTCACAGGAAATCTACTCCATTTAAAGCAAAGTGTTTCCTGATTGTACCATTTCTGCTGCTTTTCCCTGTTGGGAATCATGTCTTTCCTCCTAAGCAGCTAGCTGGGCTCTTCATGTTGTCTCCATTCAAATTATTGTAAGGGTTAGCATTGGACAAAAGCATCTGACAGAAGCCTCTCTTATCTTTTTGGCAGGATGTTTGATGTAGGTGGCCAACGCTCTGAACGCAAGAAATGGATCCATTGTTTTGAAGGAGTCACTTGCATCATCTTCATCGCAGCCCTCAGTGCCTATGACATGGTCCTGGTGGAAGATGACGATGTGGTAAGTAGTACCCTACTTTGCCTTAAGGCCTGTTATACCATAGCAGTCGGAACTTGCAAATGACTGGAAGGGCAGGTGGAGCATAATCATCACAGCACTAGACTGGGGAAAACTGGGTTCATACTCCCACTGAGCCATGAAGGGCAGGACCACACTCTATTTTGGGGTGCTGTGAGAGTGAAGAGGCAAGAGGGGAGACCCATAAATACTACCTTGAGAGGCCAAAATGCTGTTTCCCAAAATGGTGGGTGGTTGCACCTGAGAAGAAGCTGAGAAGTGAGCATGAGGAAGTGAAGTAAAAACCATGCGAAGGGAGGCGTGAATACTTTCCAAGAGGGTGTTGGGACTGAAGGTGAGGATGTGGTTTGTAGATTTCGGGAGTTCTTAAAAACAAAACAAAACAAAAATTAGGCCCAATTCATGATGATGGTGGCTTTTAGCAGGCAAGGGACTGTTGCTCTAATGAAAGGAAAGGAAAAAGAGGCACATTGTTGGCTCTCTCTCTCTCTCAGGGTGTAGAACTGGGGCACACGTGTGGGAAGAAAGAGACAGAGGTGTGAGTGTGCATTGTGCAACTGGACGTCATCTGCCAAGAAGCCCTCCCCCCTCTGATGTTCACACTCCCCTCTCCACATGATTAGTAGCTCCTTTTCTTAAGAACTGGCTTTTGTACAAATCATTGCTTCACCTTCATTTCCAGAAAATAGAATCTTAATTCTGATATATTGTTCAGGTTTGCAGGCTAAGACACTGGGATGGGTGGGAATGGTGTGGCAAAAGACTGGTGCTGGGTGAAATGAGTCATAAGCACCACCACCATGACTCCCCAGGAGAGAAGCCTCATGGATTTCAGAAGGTCTTCCCACTCAATTCAGCATTCCTAGGTTGGCAGCTTTTCTGTTCCTACTGCCAGGTATAAAAGTTTGCATACTTTGTTTTGCAACAAGGAGCTCCAGGACTCCCTGGATTATGCACTACTTGAACCTTTGTTCCAAAGGGACATTTTAATATTTGCTTTTGTTTCAGTTCCATGGATAAAATGATCAACAGCAAGCACCTTTCCATAAGACGCACCAATTTTTTAGGAGAAGAAAACAGGAAAATATAATCTGTTTTCTTCGCTCCATAAGATGCACAGACTTTCCACCCCCGTTTTGTGGGGAAAAAAGTGTGTCTTATGGTGTGAAAAATATGGTACCTCAAGTTCCTCCAAGGTGCCAGAAGATCCCCAGAAGGTGTGTTTTGCGGATGTTCGAAGGAATTTTGTCAGACATCAGAACTACAGAAGAAATGAATATGGGGGCAGGTGGCACCTTTACGGGGACAAATTTCAGTGTGGGAAGCTGTGTTTCCAAGCTGCCTTTTAGCCAGGCAAAAGGTGACCTAACAGACAGACAGACAGACAGACAGACAGACAGACAGACAGACAGACAGACAGACAGACAGACATGCTTTAACTTATAGAAGGACCCCTATTGTTAGTACTTTCTCCAGCTCGCTTAGTCTGAATACATGTGGGAAATGTGTTTGTGGTGGTTGTTTCCATAATTCAAACCTAGGATTTCTCAGCTTGTGAAGAAAATGTAGCAGCATCCCTCACATTAAATCTGGTTTGGGTCTGCTTTTTGATATTACATTTTTGTTCCTTTTCATGAGAAGAAAAATTACTTGTTAATTTAAAATAATGCTTACTATGCTTTGTGCCAATTTTAAATCGTCAATCTAAAGTCTGTGGGTGGGGTGGGGTGGGACATGAAGGTTTCTCATAAATCAAAATCAAATCATGATGACAAAAACTTTAGGGATCTAGGTGCTTAGAGGAAAGGCAGGTTCTACGTGAAAAACTAAAACCTTTGTTGTTTAGTTGTTAAGTTGTGTCCAGTTCTTCATGACCCCATGGACCAGAGCATGCCAGGCCATCCTGTCTTCCACTGCCTCCTGGAGTTGGGTCAAATTCATGTTGGTAGCTTTGATGACACTGTCCAGCCATCTCGTCCTCTGTTGTCCTCTTGCCCTCACACTTTCCCAACAGCAGAGCCTTGATACATTGACATAATTCAGCAAGTCCTTGCAACAAGTTGCGATAACGCCACACCATTCCAATTAGAACAGGCGAGAAGAATTTTCCAGAGAATGGAGATATTGTAGTTGTTCAAAGTTTAAATGGGAAGCCCTATTCAAGAATTTGCTTTTTGTTCTGCAAGCTGTCTTGTGGGAAGGCAATCCCAACAAGAGTAACTTGAGACAGGATGGAGTTAACACCAATCTGAAAATTGTGTGTAACAAGGGCTGGGATTGATAATTATATCTGTTAAAGCAACAGTCAAGCCTGTGATCTCAAAAGTCCACAGGAAGTGTCTTTTCCCCATGCTGCACACACTTGGGACTTCAGCCTCAAACACGGATGAAATTGTCTAGTGGGGCATAGCATAGCAGTGTTGGATTTAGTGCAGACTCTTGCAGCTTTTCAAAATTTTGTAGGAAAGAGATAGCAGTAGGAGTGTGTGGGTGCACCTAGATGTGTCCATATTTTCATTCACAAAAAAGGAAGAGGAGCCATGTTTCTCATTTAAGTTTGCATGGGGGTCCTGGGTGAAATTGGTTCTTGGTTTGGCTTATCCTTCCAGAATCGCATGCATGAAAGTTTGCACCTGTTCAACAGCATCTGCAACCATCGGTACTTCGCCACCACTTCTATCGTTCTTTTCCTCAACAAGAAAGATGTCTTCCAGGAGAAAATCAAGAAAGCCCATCTCAGCATCTGCTTTCCAGATTATGATGGTGAGTGCCCAGCACAGATCACATGTATATGTGGATACAGTGACAACAACCTCCTCAGCCCAATCTCTTAGGGCCAACCACGCCTCGAGGCATGTTTGTCGTGTGCCTAAATCTGTCCTAAATCTGTCGTGCTTAATTTAGCTGCATCTCCCCTGCCCCGTGCTGGCAATGATTGTGTTAGATGGCCAACACAGTTGTATTTGCCTGGGACAATGGCTCAATCACTACATGTCTGGACAAAAACATGTGGCACCTTAAATACAAACGATTATATTTTAATGTAAGCTTTTGCAAGCATGTCCACTTCTTTGGACATATGGAAACAGAATGAAATGTTGAGCGAAATATCAGTTAGTCTTTAAGGTGTCCTACCTATCTTTTTGTCTGAAACAGAATGAAATGTTGAACGAAATATCAAGTTAGTCTTTAAGGTGTCCTGCCTATCTTTTTGTCCCGTCTTGTTTTGTTTCTTTGGATTTTGCCTAATAGGCTTGCACAGACTAACACGGCTACCTCTTCTAAAACTGCACATCTCTGGAGAGGAGCGAAGGCAGCTGGAGGAGGAGCTGGGACTTTCCTTCCCAGTCCATGGATAGGCTTGGTCCTGTCACAAACATCTGTTAGAAAAGGAAAATAGATGAAGTAGACTATTTCCAGTTTTGTTTGAGAGGAACAATTTGCCTCATCCTATAGTGTTAATTGGTGAATGAGGCCTCAGTGAGGAGATGATGGCATTACTTGCAGTGCCTTTCTGAGAACAAAGTGCTTTCGGAGATATAACACAAGGGGGCCTCAGTGCTCTGAGAAATGGGCCACCCTTTCTGCCACGTAAGCCAGAATTCAGCATCTTGACTCCAGCTTTTTTTCCAAGGCCTCTCTCCCCCCTCCCTCTTTGGGGTTTTGTACTCCTGGCTTTATCCAATGACTTATTTCTTTACATTTTTTCCTCTCTCACATTGCTTTGGGGAGAAATAAATCTTTCTCCCCTGGCTCAATCTAGGCATTTCAGATGTGGTATGCCTAGTCATGGTAAAACAGAACGGTGTCTAGCAAACACAGTCAACAGAGTTCCCTGTGTTCCCTCGACCCCTCCCCTTTTCTTTTTTAAAATTCCATTGTGTTTCTGCCAAGGGAAGGATGGCTTGCTTATCTGTTTTGCCTTGGGCCATGTGCTTGCTTTGAATTTTCTCCAGCTGCTTCCCATGTGCAGATGTAAAGATAAGAACCTCATGGCTAAGGCACAAGGGAGGTATCTGTTTAAATTTGGCTCAGCCTTAACTCAAGGTAAATTAGGACAGTTACAGAAAAGGTGTGCACATGTGCTAACCATGTCCCACTTGACTCCTTGTGGCCATCTTTAGTTGTTCTTGCCTTAGATGGGCTCCGATTGGCTGCTCTTGGATTAGATGTGTGCTCACATAGAGGGAAAGTGCTGGAGGCTATGAGAAAGTAAGTGTGGTGGAGTATGTGGGGGGGCTCTAATGCTTATCCCCATAACCATCTTATTTTAATTATTGGCCCCTGCTACCTCCTTTATTAATGATCAGGGAAGATCAGGCAAATGGGCTCCTCCTATTAAGTTTTAACTTTTGTCTGCCTGGTTAGCAAAGTTTCTAATTTACGTCCCTCTTTCTGGTTTGTTTGTTTGTTTTTGAATAAGTGCTCAGGGGCAGGGCAGATGACAATAGTAAAATACAGATTAAAAATAAATCTTAAAACATTAAAAAAAAACCATATGAAAAGGTTGTAAGATAGGCTCAAACCAGTTAGAAAGCCTTCAGCAGACAGTTTGTGTTGCATGCTAAAGTCCTGCATGTGAAAATACATTGTTCTGCTGACAGAAGGACAACAGACAAGTTGGGAGGAGCCCAGAACCTGGAAACAGCCATGGGGAAGGCCTTATTTTGCCTCCCACCTATACCTCCAAAAAGAACCAGATCCAGAGAACCCTCCCTCCCCTTGGGAGAATACACTCATTTAGGTCCTAAGTCAAATATCTCATTTTAGAGGTTACAAGCAATACTGGTTAAATTATACTGGTTACATGAGTGCCTCACTATAGATCAAAGGGGATGTAATTAAGGTCTGTGTCCTTGTGGCCAAGTATCATATTTCCAGGAACAGATGTCATTGGTGAACCAGCCTTCCCTGTGCAAATTCACCCTGGGCCACTGTTGACGTGTAATTGCCCAGATTCAAGAGCACCTAAACTGTGACGTGAATTTTCAAGAGGAGTATGGAAATTATGTGAATTTCCATACTCCTCTTGAAAGCAGGAAGATTTATGTGGTACAGTGGGGTCTTGACTTGAGAACTTAATCCGTATTGGAAGGCGGTTCTCAAGTCAAAAAGTCTGTAAGTCAAGCCATCTGTAAGTCAAGGGTCCACTGTATTAAGGAGCCCGGGTGGTGTTATAGTTAGAAAGTTGGATTAGGACTTTGGAGAATTGGTTCTAGTGCCCACTGATCCATGTCATCCACTGGATAGCTTTGAGCTAGTAAATCTCCTTCAGCCTGAACTACTTCATAGGGTTGTTGGGGGAATATTCCATTCCACCTTGAGCCAAACCTAAATTTTGCGGCCAGAGAAGTCTGTAACTCAAAAAGTCTGTAAGTCAAGCCATCTGTAAGTCAAGGGTCCACTGTATTAAGGAGCCCGGGTGGTGTTATAGTTAGAAAGTTGGATTAGGACTTTGGAGAATTGGTTCTAGTGCCCACTGATCCATGTCATCCACTGGATAGCTTTGAGCTAGTAAATCTCCTTCAGCCTGACCTACTTCATAGGGTTGTTGGGGGAATATAGTGGGGAAAAGAGAAGGGCCATCCATTCCACCTTGAGGTTATGGAATAGAAGTGTTACTGAGTATATGTAGAATCAGAAAAAGTACCATTAATCCTTAGTGAATTTGCTTCTTTAAACTGTCCATGTTGACACAGGCCCCAACACATACGAGGATGCAGGAGCCTATATCAAGGTGCAGTTCCTGGAGCTAAACATGAGACGGGATGTGAAGGAAATCTACTCACACATGACCTGCGCTACCGACACAGAGAATGTCAAGTTTGTCTTTGATGCAGTCACTGACATCATCATCAAAGAGAACCTGAAGGACTGTGGCCTCTTCTGATGCAGGTTCTTGGCTTTCTAACCTGGTCAAATTTGCCCAGCTGAAATATGGGGGCAGGGGGTGGGCAGGAAGGGCATGTGGAAGACTTCTGACTTTGTCCTACTTTCCCAGTTTAAATGGTGAGACACATCATATTTTGTTATTAAGTTGCAGGAGTGGTAATGCAACCCTTTGCTGGAGAGTAGCAAGGTAAACTCTTGACACCACTAGTGAGCCACCACCAAGCTGCTGTCAAGCCAGACACACTGAATAAGGTGGACCAAAATTCTGACCTGATAGGTCAGAGTGTTCACACATTCCCTCAGCAATGGGAGAAGCTTGGTGGTTTCAAGCAGAGTTCCCTGAGGCTTCCCATTCCCACCATGGGAAGCAGATGGCAGGGCCATATGGCTTCTCATCTGCTGCAGCAGAGCACTTGTTAAATTCATAGGAGGTTGATGCTCTGGGCAGTGATAGAGGTGATAAGCCCGGTTAGCTGGCCAGGGGAAATGAACAACTAAACACATCCTGCCTTCTCCTCCCGTAGTAACACGTCCACTCTCTCCCCTTCTTTCCAGGTGCACCTGCTCCTTCTGATGGAAAGTGTCCTTGCCTGTTCGGCAGTGTGAAATGGACATAAGTCCCTTATATCAGTGATTCTTAACCTTGAGTTACTCTGGTGTTTTTGGACTGCATCTCCCAGAAGCCTTCACCACCAACTGTGCTGGCTGGGGTTTCTGGGGGTTGCAGTTCAAAAAACACCTGAGTAACCCAAGGTTAAGAACCACTGCCTTACAAGATCTATTTATGTTAAGACAGAGAATGCTGCTTCGAATAGTGACCCAGGCATGCAGGAAGGAGTTCCTCACTCGTATGGGATAGGACAGGGAGAAGGCAGGTCCAGATAGCAAGGAAAAGGATCTTCATCCTGTCATGGGCATTTATTGGCTCCTACAAGTCTGAGACCATTATTGGAAGGCCTCCCAACTATACCTGAGGAGGCCTGGCCTCTACCTCTTCTTTAATACCCACCTTCGAGCAGGAAACAGCACACACACACACCCTGGCTTCCACAATGCCTCTTTCTAGCTAGGCCACTGCTGGGCCTCACAATTCTATATCTGTGTGGCCTTCCCTCTCATGATGCATTTGTGCGTTGTTAATGCCTGCCATTTTTTTTAAACTGTTGAAATTTCCTGTCTTCCTACCATGAAACACCTTGTTGTTCTTGCTATCTCCTGTGGAACAAGGTTTCTTGTGAATTGTGAGCACATGCTAGGCTGTTGCAGAAACAGGCCCTGGGGGGAGCACATGCTAGGCTGTTGCAGAAACAGGTCCCATGAGCAAGCAGTTTGTCTTGCACTTTCCACAAAGGAAGATACGGCTGTTGCATCAATCCATGCAAAAATATTCTGATATTGAAGGAAGACATATCTGAGACAGTTTTTCCCCAAAGAAACATGGAAATCAGAGTTGTGGGTGAAGCAAAGTCAAAATCAATATGCAGGCTTTATTTCTTGCTAAACAAAACATTTGCTCAACATGGTTTACGCCAGTAGGACTTTTTTTCCGGTTTCACCCACACATGGGGGTGGGTTTCAATGTGTGGGTGCAGCTGCGCCAACCATTGGTACACAAGCATGTGGGCCTCAAACTACCACACAGGACTCACTTTAACAAGAGATAACTACCTACTAAGAGGTCCATCATATCTGTTTAACTGTAGAATTGATAATGATGAATGTATCTGTGTAGCTCATCTACCAAAATCAGGATACACCTAATTCTTAAAGCCTACATTCCAAGAGCAAAGAATGTGATCCAGCTGCCATCTGGGGCTTATGGTTTGATAACAGACTGGGCTTCATCCTGAAAGCAGCATGTTCAGGTGCATTGTAGACATTAGCCTTGTGATTTTGCCATCTTTTAATCAATTGGGAACTAATATCCCCTTACAAATTTTTTGGGGGGGAGGGATTGAACTTTGCAAACTCCTTTGAAAACTGAATTGTACTGTGAGGAACCAAGAGTTAGAAAATAACACATACACACAGAGACGTATCTTGTGCATTGTCAATGCAGGCTGAAAAGAGAAAACATGTGGAAAATGGCCATTGTGTATATTAAACAAACGTTATGGAAAATGTGCAAACAGTACCCAGAATAGATCTTGCAGACAGTCTAGGCAAAGTGTGTAAATCATATAGCAAACCTTATAAGACGGTGTGTGAAGAACTGTTTGTAGTCTGTGGCCACCTTCCAATGTGCCAGAGCTCCCCAGGGGGGCCATATGAGAATGGCTGCTCTGAAGAAAGGAAAGTATATGGGAATTCTAGGGTTTCTCATGCCTCAGCGCATGGCATCTTCTCCCCCTTGCCTGTGTTTATACAGGCCTTACATGCTTCTTGGGTCATTGTATTCTGCGTGATGTTCACTCTTTGGACTTTGATTCAAAAGGAACTATGAAAACTGACACAGAAATCCAACAGAGGAAGAAGACAGTATCTCCTGCCTATGCAGTAACATCCTTGGCTACACTTGGTGTCAAAATACAACAGGGAGTCTCTCCTCTCTAGGGCATGGTGCCAAATGTCAAAATTCAGCCTCAGCTGTTACAGAGTGGAAGGTTGTGGCAGATAGTTCAGAAAACCAATCAAACTGCCTATGAATAGCGAGAAGCTTGAAGTGAATGATCCCAGAATGATTGCATGACATGGAACTTGTCTGTGACTGTGAAGCCACCTCTTCTTTTCTTGTCTTTCTTTTTTTCTTTTTTTGGCTCGGCTTCAAAACAGATTCAGCAATTTGATGTGCAAAATCAATTTCCCATGCTGATGAAAAAGCCCACACTGAATTGTGTGTGTGTGTGTGTGTGTGTAATGCACAAGAAGCAATAGAGAGGAAACTCAGCTTTCTTTCTACTTTTTATTATTTCAAACCATGTGAACAATTTGGTAAAACGTTGTGATAAAAGCTAGGCTGCGTCTGACGGTTACTAATGGCCCGGTGCCCATCGACTGCACGGCAGGCAGGACCGCTTACATACAGCAGTGTTTCCTCAACTGACGCTACAGTTAGAGCTAAGAAAATACATTAAAATAGGCCTGACGTTACAGCAACCTCAGGAGCGCTCCCAGGTCCTGGGGCAGGGCATCAAAGGAATGGAAAGAAGTTGAGCTTGACATTGCTTAGTCCTTTAGTGGAATCTTAGCCCTTAGGAACCTAATTCTGTGGCCATGAAGAAACATGTTTTAAAATCCCTGGGCACTGCCCCCTCTTAAAATGCTTGTCCTGGACCACAGCAGAAAGGGAGAAAAGGGCTGGGGGGGGGACGGAAATGGGGTCTGGGGGGAGACAGGGGACAGGGAACTATTTTACACTAATCTAAACACAATGCACACAGAAGCAAACTAAGAAACAGATGTAAACATACAGACACCCTCAAGGCACAAAATTTACTAGAGACGATGAGCTTGTAGTGGGCAACTCAATCGTTAACTACTGGACATTTTAAATAAGGTTTTTAAAAAGGTTTTCTTTTAAAAAAAATAGACCAACTTTTCCTGCACAAATTGGCTTTTTGAGGAATGTTTCCGATTTCTTGCTGGTCTGTGCAAATTGCAGGGGTAGGAGCTGAGCAGTTTGCTCCGTAGCAAGAGCTCCTGCCCCTTCAGGGAAGGTGGAAAAACAAACAAGACAGTGGATTGCTTTGGCAGAGCCAGACAGAGGGTTGTTTGGACGTAAAAAAGCAAAGCAAAGCAAAACCAATTAGTAATAATTCTTGTCTTTCTCAAAAAACAAGGAAAGAGCATTAAAAAACATGTCCAAAGCCCCTTGACCTGCTACCTTCCACACTTTAGGGTAACCAAAACAGAACAGAACAGACCTACATGGAAATGTTACAGCTATGGCAGGCCACCACTCATTGGTGCTTCAGTAAGGCTTTGTGGGTGCATGGAGGGAACACAAACGGCCTGCAACGGGCAAGTGGGGAAGCAGAGAGCAGGAGAAGCCATGGAGACAGGTGCCTCTTGGACCAGCGGAATCGCTGAAGTCTCATCGTTAGGAAAAATTAAAAGGAATGAAACAAAAACAAAAGAACTTTTAAGAAGCAGAAGTCATCGAATGGTGCAGTCCTCCCTTCATCAACACCAGCCTCTTCCTCATATGGAGCAGTTCAAGTAATCCTGCATGGGGGGGGGGAAGAGAACAAGGAAGTCAGCACCCCAGTTTACTGCAGCGTCTTGAAGGAAACATCACCCACAGTACTGGACAGCTTGAGGCTGAGCTCATGGCTTCCTGCCTCTGACTTTCTGCACAACTGTGAGAAAGGAACATCAACATGTTGAATGAGGCATTATTTATATAAACAGACACACATGGCCGCTCAGTTCAGTGGCTGTGACAGATTCAAGCCGCATTCAGCCTGCCTCGTGCAGGTGGCCTTTTTCGTTGTGTTTTAAAACAAAACTCTTGGATCTCTCTTTTGTTGCTTTCATTAAAAATAACTGAACAGATTTTGCCATTTTTACAGGTCAGCACAATTTGTGCAAGTTTTATGGCTGCTTAGAAAACAGGGGAGTCAGAGGGCCAGCAAAATTCATGTCAGCATCTGGAGACTGCCATCTATCGGCAAGTCACAACCTGGTAATTGTTACGCCTTAGCGGCTGAACCTGGTACTGAGTTCCAGATGGGTACTAGCCTCTCTTGTGGCTCACACTCTTGAATAGGGAATTGTGCCAAACGATAGAGATATTTAAGCTGGGTCTTGAGTTGTGAGCCTCCTTCCACTTACGAGGACCAGAAAGGCTTTGACTCTTGGGAAGCTGAAGTTGATCCATGCAAACAGAAGGCAGGAGCTTTGGCAACATATAAACCTTTGGCTCCACTGATTCTTCAGCCCCTTTCCCCGGAAGCCATCTGATCTTGGCATTTCAGATACTTATTCCCATGCTTACGTTTGATGCAGCCCAGGTCTTGAGATGAGTTCTGATGTTGCAAGCCTGGCAGTGATGCCTTGCACACAACATTATTTCCACGCAAAGCAGCAGAAAGGCACACTGTATTCCCTTCGTCAAGTGGAGGAGTGTGACATGAATCATACAAAGCAGCCCCCCAAATACTTGCATTATCCTCCCAGCAGTGCCTCACCTTCCTGTGTTCCTCAGTAGGTGTCACCCGAAGAGCTAGAAGAGTCCGCAGTCCTTCAGGTTGTTTTTGATGATGACATCAGTGACAGCATCGAAGACAAACTGCACGTTCTTGGTATCAGTGGCACAAGTGAAGTGGGTGTAGATCTCCTTGGTGTCCTTCCTCTTGTTCAGGTCCTCAAACTTGCTCTGGATGTAGCTGGCTGCTTCGTCATATTTGTTGGCCCCTGAAAAGGACAAGAAGAGGGGGAGAAAGAAATGGTTTGAATTCATTCTGACTCAGTCTTCCATCCATGCAGAGATTTCCGCCCCCAACATGCTACTAAGGAAATTAAGATACTCAGGCATTAATCCCTGTTCCCTAAAAGAGCCTGTCAACAATACCTGACACCTGGGTAAACAAGT